TTTGAAAAAGGTTTTTTTTTCCCCGAAAAACCCCTGCGTCCAGACTACTTTCACTTTCAAAAGACCCGCTTTCGAAAGTGATATAGGAAGAAGATATGCAAATTCCGCAGTTTCAAAAATAAAGTGTAGTTTAGACATACCCAAAGAGTCATGAGGAGCTTCTTGTCTTCTGACTGGGATAGAGGCATGCCACATCACGGAAAAGTTATCAGAACCTGTCTATAGTACGGATGTTAAAATGTGTTTATTCAAGTAAACATGAACCGCTGAAAATTTCAGAGGTTACACACCAAGATGGGAGGGGCAGCTCTATGGGAGCTAGCTCCTTTTAAGCTGGCTCCCAATACGCACTGGCTCATGACTTTTTGCTTCCCTGCACTGCTGCCTCTGTATGGAGGAGGGGGGGGAGAAAGGGCCCTACATGTAATCGTGTACACGGTTACATTTTCACATCCCTAGTCCATAGTAAAATTCTGATTACTACTAGTCCTGATCAAATCTAACAGATACACACAACTTTAGGGATATGTGGTAAATGTGAAATCCTTGGCAAAAAACACTATGGTGCCCAAAGACTTCATTTCTGTATAAGCAGTTCTAGTTTAGGAAGTTACTCATTCAATAGCACAAAGATAACATTAGCTATATCTGACAAGTTCAGCACTATTTTGCTACGATAATTAAGGATATAATGGGAGCTATGGAAGCATTTGAACCAAACCAAAAATCAAAGATTCCAAGCCTCTCTCTCCACCCTCCCTTTCTTGCTGTTTCTCTCCCCTCCCCACCCCATTTGTGAGACTGAGGGAAGCCCCTAGGGAAAAACTGTCAAAAAGATTCCAAGCCTCTCTCTCCACCCTTCCTTTCTTGCTGTTTCTCTCCCCTTCCCACCCCATTTGTGAGACTGAGGGAGGCCCCTAGGGAAAAACTGTCATGTTTGACTTTGCACTAGTGGCAGATGAATCTGAATCCATGTAATCAGATTAAATCACATTTAGATTAAACAGCAGAATTTTAAAGACTGCAGTTTTCCTTTTGAAGAGCTGCTAGTTCCTTTGATATTAAGGATATATTTTGAGCTAAGCACCTTTTATGGGGCATTAATATTTGGAATATAATAAACATGACAGCATGCCCTTAAGAGACCATCTATATAGTACCATAGTACTTAATACATCATACATGTTAAAGGTGATCTGAAAAGGTTATCTGATTTTGTTTTAAACCCCCCTTCACCCATTAGATTCCATAAAGGAATAAAAGGAAGCATAGTTAGCCTTCACCAAAAAAAAAAAAATCCTGAGAAAATACTAGCTAGCTATTAACCTTCTCATTTCCCTGACACAGCAAATAACATTGCAACCAGAACAAAGATGTGAAAAAATCCTTTCCATTTTAAGCCTGTATATTTATTCTCTGTGTTTATAGTACAGTGCTTGTGATGTCATGCAGCATGGCAAACAAACCAGTAAGTAGTCTACAGTTCAGACTTCACAGGATATCAGAGAAATTAACTTTGTTAAAATACAGCAAGAAAAGCATTTTTAATAAGTATATACTTCCCTTCTGGTTCCCATCTTTGGAAACTTATCAACAAATGTTTAATTTTTAGTAAAAGCAAAGATTACTTACCCTACAGTAACTTCAGCATTTCAAGATGCCTTGCTCATATGCCTATTCTACACTTGGTGGGTGTGTGTACTATGCACTAGTGACTGATTCTTTTGGGCAGCCATAGCTGTTATAGGTTAATGTCTATGCCTCCAACTAAGTGCACAGACAGATCAGATAACTAGATGGACAAACAGATATGCACACTCCAAACATCTTGAAGAATTACAGTTACAGTAGGGTAAGTAAACAATTCTTCTTCCAGAGCTTGCCTATGTAATATCCATTCCATTCTTAATGACTTTTAAGCACTGATCTCCTCACAGGAGGTGGATACTAGGTGCTGCAGTAGAAGTGTTTTATGGCACTGCTTAACTTAATATGAACCATATTAGTATATTTATATATGTAATTTAATAAACACGCAAAAAACATAGCAAATATATTTGTAAAATGGCAAAACATTTTAGTTACCATTTCAATTAAATGTTAATTTCTTCTATGTCATCGCTTAACTTGCTGAAGAGACGTAATATGTCCCCACGTGTTAATTAGTTTTCCCTTCTCCTTTCTTGCTCTCTCTGGTTGTAATTACATAGTACCAATCGCAGGAGCACAGAGGCAATCATTTCTCTCTGCCATTTATTTAATAGGTAGGTGAAAATGCAATGACCTATTAACCCTCCTATTCTCTGAACGAGAGATCTCCAGAGTGAGACTGTTAGGGTCCTGTAACCTTATGAGTCCCAAAATAGAATTATTTTAATCCTATGACCCCATGATGGAAAAATATTGATGCTTACTAGTTGCCATGGTTACTGTCTTGGGCTTGCTCACCTGTCTCAGAGGATGAAAAATGACAAGAAAAGTCTGGAATAAACAAACTGCATTATCTTCTCCAACTGCAGAAGAATAAAAACTGTCTCACTGGCTCATGAAATGCTCATTTTTCAATGTTCACTGAAAAGCCTTCTGGCTGCACAGCACAAAGACGACATTTTATATTCCCTGTGTTGATCTGCCAATGAACCAATTTATTACAAAATAAATTTCATTTATAGGACAATCTGTTTAGGGCCAATTTACAACACAATTAAACATACATAGATAGATATTGAGGGCTGTAATGAGGGACCCATTTCTGAAAAATGGTGCATGCTCATCCCCCATTAGCTTCAATAGGAACTGGAGGAAGACAGGACCTGACCAAACCCTAACACAACAAAAATTATGGTATATACAATATACACACAAAAAAAGCTCAGGATTTACTATTTTTGCAATGTTGAAAATAAAATTGCTTGTAGGACTGGTTTTATTAACACTTGCTAGAAACTTATCCTGAGAGTACAAGGAATCAGTATGATGTAACTGAAGGGAGAGAAATAAAATAACACGGAATATACAAAACCAGTGGCCTTATTTTCAAAACTGCTGAGCTCCTTCAACTCCCATTGACTTCAATAGGAATTAAGGTGTGTTCAATACTTCTAAAAGTTAGATAGCTGAAGAGCTTTAATCCTAAAAAGAAGCACAGTTTGCCTAAAACAAGTAAATATTAGGACTAATACATAAAACAATCTAGAGACCCTAAGTACACTATCAACTTCCAATATTCCAGCTATGTTCTTCAGGGCAAAGAATGTCTCTACATTCTGTAACACAGCTGATAAGTTTTCAATGGCAGACATCTTTAAAGTAACAATACATAATGTTAAAGCATATACTCTCTGCTGCCAAGAATTTTTTCAAAGTCATCATTTGGGTGCAATTAATCACAATACAAAGGCTCACTGCCTGTATGATCTCTCCATAA